CCCGCCCCTCGCACAGTGATTGCTGGACATGGGCACCAGCGACCCCCGTGACCCAAAATGGAATAAGCGGGTAAAGAAAATGGATGGATGGATGGATGGATGGATAAAAAAATAGTGGTAATTACATAATAGTTCTTGTCTATGTCAAAGCTTTTGTACTTATTTTTACTTTTTTGTAAATTAAAAAAAAAATCTTGTTCAACATTTTTGCTTTAATTACTCTTAGTTGTTTAAATATTTTTTTTCCAACCATTTAAAATATTGTTATATTTTACTAGATTTTGTCTCCCACCACGCACACACGAAGGGTGGTGTCACTATTAGACTTCCATACAGGGCAGGTGCATTTAGTGTATGTTGGCTAGTTATATAACACCAAAAACGTTTTTCTTACATAAAGATACAACAAACACTCTATATAATAAATTAAAAGAGAATGACACCTGATGGTACTAAAATGTGACAGTAATTTTATCTTTGAGATTATCCAACTACCTTCTCAGATTATCACTGACCCTGGTCGGCGAGAAGAGTTAATCATCTGTAACCATCGGAAAGAATTGCAGCAGCACGGAGGCGTCTCCTTTGACGTCATCACGTACGAAAGCGCTACGACCTGAACGTCAGCTAAAAATCCTCCTTTCACCCACCGCATCTAAACCGGGACAGGACATCACTTAAGCGGATTCACACTCCACTATTTTCTGGTACAGTTTGAACTCTATTACACTTTTCCCTCTTATTTACTTATTTTTTTTTTTGGTTTATGTAAATTAATAATTTAGTGAGTGAGTACAGTGGAAAATAACTGGCAGTTGGCTAACGTGAGCTAGCTTATCCCCGGTCTGAAGAGGCGACTCCTTCGTGCGTGGCCGGTATTTATCTTTTTGGGTTATTTACTCTTCGGACGAGAAACGACAGATACGTTTATTTTTGCCGCTTTTTAATATTTATTCGTTGTGCAGTGTTATTTACGTTCCTATTCACAAAAGTAGAAATGTCCTGTACATTGTTACATAATGACAGGCAGTTCGGCAGCCTCATCTCTAGGAACCGTGTATAAATCTCGCTGTGTGTCCTAATTTAGCCTGACAGGGGTCAGGGGGTGTGTGGTTGGAGGCAGCTCCTCAGCCACCTATCATCTGTCAAGGTTTGAGGGATGAGGCTCTGGCTCACATCCAATTTCCCTGTAATCAGTAACCTTCACTGGTAATCCTATGCTTCACAACCTCGAACTGGTTTTAAAGTTTAATGCCAAAATCACTGGACTCACCCTCCTGAGAAAATGTTCCCAAGAACAAAAAATAAATATATGTTTTAAAGATGTGCCAAATTCAGTTTGGCCTGTGTCCAAAAGGACAAAACAACCCAGGAACGTCACAGCTCTGCTGTTGGATTATAACCTTTTGTTAACTTAAATGCTCCTTTGTGTTGAACCAGAAAGAAAAGTGTGGTTCAGCAGACCAGTAATCCCACTACATGCTCTGTTTCACTCTAGTAGCTTTTATTCTTATTCTTTGGTTATATTTTATGTATATGCATTGTCTGTCATTTGCCAAAACAAATCTACATTTATTATCTTGACAACACGTTATTAAGTACGGTGTTACCTCCAACTTCCATATGCAGTGACATAAATGTGATACAGCAGTGTATGCAAATTATTTGGGCCTCATATTTAATTTAAAACGGCTCAAAGACAATATAAGTGTTGCTTCAGTGATGGGTTTGCCAGGCATGTTTGTTTGTTGTATTCTTCCACAAAAAATGGGAAAATCTTTGACAAAGACTAAACGAAGTTGCGTAACTTTAAGAAAAAAATACAATGAGACCATATCTATTGACGTGCGGAGAGCCAGCACAGAGTTGTGTACAAAATATACATTTCAGTTTGCTCAAAATAGTTCTTTTAAAAAGTTTTTTTTTTTTTTTTTAGAAAAGCACCATTACAGAAAGTCAAAACACAACTTGGAAGTGATTCTGCACGTAGTGACAGATTAGATTTTTAAACTGTTTCATTGTGAGAACGTTTATGAAGCGTTCACACTATTGTGATCCATTTTTCTTCCATACGATTTTCAGCATCAGTTTCTCGTTCCACAATTTTTGTGCCTTTTCAGCAAATCGTGAATCAAAACGTTCGGTTAGTTCAGGAGAAGGGTGCGATGACTTTTGGGATTGGTGCCACTTTAGCTTTTTGAAATATTTAGCCTTTTCTGATACTTTTTTCTCATAGAAAATGAACTGAGCTCATTTTACTTCCTTCATATCTTTAGATGTGTTTACAACCTTTTACTGATCCTTTCACATTTTGTTCTGCTTCAGCTAATTTCAGCTGATTTTTTTTCAGCTGTTTTGTGCTCCTTTCATATTCTTTCTGTTAATTACAACATTTTTGTGCTTCTTCTTTTTTGCTATTTTCAGCTTATTTCTGTCAGTTTCAGCTTATTCTGCTATTTCAACTAATATTTAGCTGTTCATATGCTAATTTTAGCCTTTTCAGCTATTTCCACATTTTTTCACTCTTTTCAACTTTTTTCACCTTAATTCAGCAAATATGTGCTCTCTCTACTTCCTTCTGGTCGTTTTAAGCTTCTTTCTGCTTTTTCAGCTACTTTTCAACTGTTTGTTTTTTTATTTTTTGTTGCTAATTTCAGCTTTTTTCAAATAATTTCCACTTTTTGTGCTAATTTCTGCTTCTTTCAGTTTAAATGGGCAAACATGTTCTTTCTGCTTTTTTGTCCTAATTTAATTTAAGCTTGTTCTACCTTTTCAGATACCTTAGCATTTTTTTTTTGCTAATTTCAGCTGTTTTCAGATAAATTCAAAATTTTCATGGTAATTTTAGCTACTTTCAACCTAATTAACTTCTTTTTGGTAATTTAAGCTTATTATGCTCCTTTCAGCTTTTTTCGGCTAGTTTCAGCTTTTTTGATATCTCAGCTACTATTTAGCTGTTTAATGCTAATTTTAGCCTTTTCATGTAATTCCACCTAATGAAGCTCTTTCCACTTCCTTCTGGAAGTTTGAGCTTCTTTCCACATTTCAGCTAATTTTCAGCATTTTGTTTTTGCTAATTTCAGCCTTTTTATTTTTTTTTTAGCTAATTTTCACATTTTTGTGCTAATTTCTGCTAATTTAAACTTAATTAATCAAATATATGTTTTTTCTGCTTTCTTCTAATTTAGGCTCGTTCTTCCATTTCATCTACAATTCAGCATGTTTTTTGTTGTTGTTGTTGTTGTTTTTTAGCAAATTTCAGCTGTTTTTCAGCAATAAGCATTCACACTGCATGTTCTCAGGAAGTACAGTTTCTCTAGTTAGATTTTCCATTCCTCGGTTTTTAAAATGTGGTTCCAGTGTTAATTTTGAAATGTTTCAAGCTCAGCCTTGTTCATTATCTTCTCTTCTTGTTTTCATCCTCACAGCTGCGTAAAACGTGAAATATGAAGGGAATGATTCTTCTGCTCAGCCGCAGCCTGAACCGTGCGGCTCCTGTTCTCCGTCGGAACATCCATTCCGGTGCTCGTCCTGCCTCCGCCATCGCCTCCAAGCTGAAGACGGAACGTCCGCTCACATCAGACGAAATTTACGCCCGCGAGGACAAGTACGGAGCCCATAACTACCATCCCCTGCCTGTGGCTTTGGAGCGAGGGAAGGGTGAGTTCATGCTTTTATAGCTGTGAACATCACTGCAAAGGTTTTACAATAATTATTACGCGTCTTGTTTTTACGTCAGGCATCTATGTATGGGATGTTGAGGGGAACCGATATTACGACTTCCTCAGCGCCTACAGTGCAGTGAACCAGGGACACTGCCACCCTAAGATCGTCGCTGCGCTCACGGAGCAGGCGTCCAAACTCACCCTGACCTCCAGAGCGTTCTACAACGACGTGCTGGGAGTGTACGAAGAGTACATCACCAGCCTGTTCGGATATGACAAAGTACTACCAATGAATACAGGTAAACCAAAATACTAACGGATGTATCCTGAGCAGATTCACATTAATGTTTTCCTGCTTTTAATCTAATTACTTGTGCACAGATTGTGCTATAATGTTCCGCTCATTCAGGAGATGGGTGCTTTTTATCGTAGAAACTCATTGTTTTCAGTTCATTTAAAGACTTTGTACTAGTTGAAAGCTGTTTCAATATACTTTCTTTATTTTTATCCTCTTCTGCTTACTTTTAGATATTAGCGAGCCTTTTGCTACTTTTAAACAGCCTTTAGCTACTTTTAGCTTCTAGCTAGCTCGTTGCCACATTGGCTTTTAGGTGTTGCTCTGCTTCTTTAAGCTTTACCACTCGGTTTCAGCTTTTTACTAAAATTTTCAGCAGTCATTCAGCACTCAGCATTCAGGCCACATTGGCACAAAACACAATTTCTCAAGTTAAGCTTTGCTTTTTTCTTCTCTTTTATTTATTTATTTTTTTAAATTAGGAGTTGAAGCTGGTGAGACAGCCTGTAAGCTTGCAAGAAAGTGGGCCTACAACGTGAAGGGGGTTCCAAAGAATCAGGCTAAAATAATTTTTGCAGGTAAGTCGCTATAGCTGGAAAAATAATCTCACTTCTCACGACGCTCAGGTGCTAAGAAAGTGCTTCTTATCGTGAAAACGTTTACATAACTTTTCAAACACGTCAGTCAAAGTTAACAATTGCATAATTCTACTTGGAGATGAATTACCGTAATTTCTGGACTATAAGCCACTACTTTTTTCACAGCCTTATACAATGCTGCAGCTAATTTATTATATATTTTTTTTTTGATGGGCTAACAAGCTTCATGCCGCCAAAACATTTCGCCTCGTCACACCCAGGCGCTCACAGAGCTGCCCAGTACACGTCCCCCTTGTGGTTAGGTCCTCATGAGTCAATGAGACTACCTGGATAAATAAAGGTTAAAATCAGACCAGTGAAATTACCGAACTGGTCCAATGAAAAGTTTCATTGATCTACCCTCCACGTTGTGCCCCCAGGGAGGGGAAAAACTAAGTCCCCCCGCTCCCTGGGGGCACAACTAAGTATTTGCCGCATCTCGAACTAAGTGTGAATCAGGCATTTAAAATGGCACTCCGAGCTCGTTGGGAGGCTTGGATGACTAGTGGCGAGCAGTGCTCAGGAGGAAGATGAAGTTAGCGATGAATGACTTCCTGATAGGCTACTGTATTTATTAATGTTTTTAACCAGCCGTGTTACAGGCTCTGTTCAGAAAAAACATTTACTGTACGTATTTGTGTTTGTTACCGGTACGCATTTCATTAAAAGTTTAAAA